TTTTAATGGCCCTTTGATATTTACTATCCCGGGAAGGCCTTAGCTCACCCCCCGTTCAAGTCTTCCCTGAGAAGGGGGAAATAGGATGCGCCACGGTGGACGATCCCTCTTCTATTTCTTTTAATGGGCATCTTTTAGTCCCCAATCAGTTTGCCAGTCTCGGCTGATTCCCCGATACCGGTCAAACCTCATGGGCCCGTGTAAGTACGGTTCGAACCTTCTTCCAGGTCCAGCCCTCTTGCAGGCATACCCTCTTCCGGGCCCCTCTTCTGGGTTTATTATTTTTTTATTTTATACTGAGCAAGACCGGTGTAGTAACCGGCATGCCAGGTCCGGGCCTGTGTCTCAGTCTTTCCTTTAAAATTCTTTGAAAACATATCCTTGATCGTGCATGTACAAGGTCCACTTGTTGTGGGCCTTTTATCTTCAAATCACACATGGATCGAGATGTCCAAATTCATGCATCATGGGTGGTGCCTGCCAACATGTGGTGAAGCTTTCAATAATCAATGCTTCGTACCTTGTAGTGTTTATTACTCCTTGTTTTAATTTGCTTGTGCCTTCATATTAACATCTTTTAATGTGCCAACATCTCCACGTGTAGGCATTTGGAATTTTCCTCAAAATCAGATCCTTGAAGCAATAGTTTCCAGATTTGATTCTTTGACAATGAATCAATGGCTCCCTTTGTCAGATTGTATTTGTCCATTTGATTAGTAGTTGCATGTTATTGGCGGCCAGTTCCCGCATTAGATGGAAATGGCGACGGAGATAAAGATAGGACTCTAGCAACTTCAGCCGCAGACAGCTCTCGAGAATAGCGGCCCTGATGGTGCAATCAGGCAGCAACAACGGCAAAGGTCCCTGCGGTTGTAGATCTGAAGAAAAAAAAGGTTCCTTGGTGGCCGGCTACAAACAAATTTCTTTCGGCGGTGTGTATGTCGAACTAGGGTGCGCGTAGGTCCAAGTTCTAATAGAGAAAATTACAAGAAACAACGCCGGAAAGCTCTTATAGCAACAATGGCGGTGCACAGCCCTACCCCTCCTCTCGTGATAGACCCTTGCACTACCAAATCCGTCGGCGAGTTCACCCAGTCATTACTGCAGTCACCGTTCAGCTCAGGGAGCCGCCAAAACCTTTTCTTTTCAGGTTTTTGATCTGGTAAAAATGGCGAGAAGCGTAATGCAATCTCCGGGACACCCGGCGTGAGACAGAGCCCAGGCCAGTACCGCCTCGGAGATCGGCCTATCTGCTTTGTCGGCGACGATAACTTTCTCCGACGGTGGAGCAATTGCGCGGGACATCGAGTAGGCGCGGAGGTCCAATTCCGGTTGTACCATTTTGATCGGAAAAACAGCAGGAGAGAGAAGGGATAGGTGGGGACCTTTATTCTTCGAGGGGCGGAAGCAAATTCGCACCCACTCGCTCCTGTAGACCTCAAATTGGGACGATCTAGCCACTGATTTTTTTGTTTTTTTATGATTTGGAGATTCCTCATATGGCGGTTAATGTAAGTGGCGGCTGCTCCATAAGACCACAACCGGGGTAGAGCCCAAATCTAACCTTGGATAAGGCCGAGTGATGGCGAGCGAGCGGCAATTCTGAAGATCGGTGACGGCGGCTGCGAACAAGCTTTAGAACCAGCGGCAGTGATGGACTTGGGCGGCTTAATCAGTCTATGGAGGTTGTGCGTCCGAGCAATGGCGGAAGCAAACCCCGGGAACAATGGTTGCGGCGGACCGATATATTGGACAGCAAATACGTCGATGAAATTTGGCTCCTTCTCGCATTGATCTCCTGCTCCTTCCGTTAGCTGTGGCTTGTTTGTAGCAGCAGGTTGATGGTGTTTTTTAGCATAACAATCGCCCTTTTTGAGGAATGGCAGCACTCCATCTGCAAATATTCGAACAATAGGCTTTTGTGTATCTTTTCCTTTTTTTTTTTGTTGTTGGCGTGGGGAGGAAAGAAAAAAAAGTATCATGCTCCCCCTCTCTCTTTTCTCTCGTGTAGCCATCCTTGTTTTTCTATTTGATCTCTCTCTCATTTATGGTATTCAATGGGTAAACTCTCGGTCCCACGGGTGACGCCAAAATGATGGTGTAAATTATCGACCGGTATATCGTTTTTAGTCCGGCTAAAACGATTAAAACACGGGGATTTTTACGTGGAAACCCAAATCGGGAGAAAACCACGGGCCTTTTTTGGCGGTACCTTGCCAACGGGAAATTTTTATTAATATCGGAGGTGTATACACGGTACATGATTTAGGCTAGAAGCCATTAATGGAGCATTTGAGCTCTTGAAGAAGAGGAAAATATACACAAGCTTTCTAGAGAGAGAGAGAGTAAATGGGCAGGGAAGGAGTGAAGAGTGCGAATTGCCCTCCTCAACAATTAGGGCAACTCTCCCTTTTATAGGAGAGAGTGAGAGCATGTATGGAGGAATATTCTCTTATTCCTCTATTTTATTAAACAGGCCCGGTTTAACTGTTTTTCGTAAATAATTGAGAAATGTGGGCCGAGCCACGTATTATTTCCCATCAACTTAGATAAATATTTATTTTAAAAAAATAAAAATATTTTTTATATGAGAAGGTCTACAAAAATGATATGCATCCAATGTGCATCATAGTAGCACTCGGGCAAAATAAGCATGTCCTTACTACCTAAATAACTATATATTTTTTTAATAAAAAACAAAAAAAAAGATTTTTTTATGTGAGAAGGTCCTCAAAAATGGTATGTACCCAAGGTGCACCATAGAAACACTCATAAATACTACATCCTCCGTCCTAAAGCGTTCTTCCTGTTTCTGTTTACGAGATTTCACCAATTTTATTTTCAATTCATTTAATTGTAGGTGTAAAAAATTTAAAAAATAAAATTTATATTATTAAGATTAAAAATATATAAAAAATTCTACAAAACAATAGGTGACAAGAATATATTATTTTATCAAATAACTAACTAAAATATACTCCCTCCGTCCAAGAACAAACTTCCTACTCTACCTTTTTTTCGTCCGAAAAAAATCTTCCTACTCTACGTTTTTATACCTATTCTTCCAAAATTACCCTTCTTCTCCTTCAACATTTCTTCTCCCCATTTCACCTTCCCCACGGTAAATCCGGCCTTATCTTCATCACTCCCACTCTCTCTCACAGTCTCCCCCCTCCCCTCTCTCTCTTCCCCCTTCTTTCTCTTGTTTTCCCCCTTTCCTTTCTCGGCCTTATCTTCTTCTTTCTCTTCCCCCTTCTTTTTCTTGTTTTCCCCCTTTCCTTTCTCGGCCTCATCTTCTTCTTTCTCTTCCCGCTCCCCCTTCTTCTTCTCTTTCTCCTCCTCCTTCTCCTCCTCCTTCTAGATCTGTGTTAGATCTAGATCTGTGGACGTTGGGGGAGGATAGTGGTGGGCGGTGGAGTAGTGTTGAGGCTGAGGCAGCGATTGGGCGGCGATGGCGCTGGTGCAGCGGTGGGGCGGCAGTGGGTCACGGATAGCGGTGGGGTGGTGGTCCGATGGGGCTGGGGCAACAGAGGGGTGGCGGTGGGCTGTGCAAAGGAAAGATAGTGGGGGTGGGGGGCCAAAAGATAGGAGGGTAATTTGGACATTTTAATGATGTAGTCAACCCTCACTAAAAATGAGGAAATGTCAAACTAGGAAGATTTTTTCCGGACGGAGGGAGTATTTAAAAAAGTGATTAAAGTTTAATCGTAAAAATAGTAAGTGAGAAAAACATCTGAGGAGACGGGAATCGGAGTAATAATCTTTAATAGCATGCATTGTTTTGGGAGTTCTAAATATAGTCCCCGTACATGTTTCAATTACATGGTGTCATTGGCTCCCGGTCATTAGCAATCCCAACACATTAGGATTAGGATTGGCCTTATTTGAGAAGAGCGTTTTCGTTTAGCGTTAGTGATTTGAATAAAATTTTAATCGTGTACCTTAATTATTAAAACACTAACGTCAAAGACTATCATCGGATAACATTTTCAAAATGCTAACACAAATATTTAAGGCTGATCCCAAGCTGGGACCAATGTCGCTAACCGCTACCTATTTTTTACTCCCTCCGTCCCAAAAAGTCTTTCCTGTTTCATTTTTTGCGCATCTCATAAAACACTTCTAACGACATCTAAAATACCTAAAATTTACAAAATTTCTTCTTTATTGTGGGTAGAAGTTATTTTGAAAGTTTTTTGGCATTCAAGACGGGATAGAAGTGTTTTATGGGATGCGCAAAAATGAAACATGAAAGACTTTTTGGAACGGAGGAGTACTTCTTAGTTTGTTTTTGGATATAGTTGTTGTTGTCCATAGCACAGAATTTTCTTTTTTTTTTCGTAGTGGAAGACTGGAGTAAGCCTTTATTAATTAATTGAGTCACTCACCTGCATGAATTGATTTTAAGTTAGAGAGGGTAATTAATTTAAAAGCAAACTAAGAAGTAAAAAAATGAGGTTTTTATAAGTTAGAGAAGGGTAATTAATTTAAAAATTGATCTTATTAATTTAATATTGTTCATGAATTGTGATTTTAGATGATTTTTTATTATTTTAGTTTACTCTAAATTTTTTAGAGTTAATGATTAATTTTGAATTTTTAAATTTCATGGATTAGATTAGTTAATTTCATATATCATATTGATTTATGATTTTTAGTTAAATTCTACATCGTTTCATTCATTGAAGTTGTGAAATACTAATTCATTCTAGGATTCTATTTTTTGTGTACATATTGAGATTAAATATTTAGATTTTCTTCAAATGTTCATCTTTAATTTTAAGTATGATGTGATAGATAAGATAAGAAAAAACAAAAATAAAAGTGATATTTAAATAAAAAATAAAAGTATTTTAGCGGGAAAGAAAAACATGAAAGAGAAAATGTTTTGATGATTAAATAGAGTATAAGCTAGTGCATTAGTTTTGCATGTTGTAAAGATCTGAAGTTGTAATTTAGTGGACTTCTTTGTGTATCGAAAAGATAAATTTGGCAGTTGGCACATTATAATTCACACATGAGTGGTCCTATTTTCATATTTAGAATTGTTAATTACTCTTTTGGCATTTTTTGTGGTAATATTTTATTGAGTTTGTTATATTAGCATGAGATTCATATACTTTTATTAGGTTGTTTAAGTTTGTCTATAGATCAATAGCAATTCTAATTGAAATGAATAAAGAGCAATGCTAGGGGTCCATCAAAGGTGTACCCTATTTATCCCCCACTATTTTCTCCACCACCCATTTTTACCCCATTTTTATTTATTTAATTTTTTAAAAATATTTTGCCCATTTTTGTGGTAATGGAGGAGGTGGGGTGTACCCAATGGGGTACACCTAAAGGTGTACCCCTAGCATTTTTCATGAATAAATTATATTTATACCTGTACCACTAACACAATTAACAAAGACTACGTTTAAAATCTGTTTTTTTTAATTTTATGTTTTGATGTTGTAAGCTACTCTCTTTGTCCGAAAATGAACTTCTCAGTTTATGAAGTTTGACTGAAATTATTTTCAATTTAATTTATTTAATTATAGGTATAAAATTAAAAAAATAAAAATAATGTATATTTTAAAACTACATCAAAAGTTATACTTGAAGAACAAAACAAGAGGTGACATGACTATATTATTTTATCAAACAAATAACAGAAATATGTAAAAAAAATGATTAAAATGTGACCATGTAAATAGTGACTAGAAAGATCATTTTAAAATATGTAAAAATGATCATTTTAATACTTTTTTAGTCCTATAAATTGTACGAACCATTTTTGGGGAACAAATGAAAGCATAAATATTTTATGAAAGAGGAAATATTTTATGAAAATGTCATTCGTGCACCGCACGGATGTGATACTAGTGCATCTGAGAGTGGAATAGAGCATTCTTGCTGACATGAACCGTACCTGACGTTATCACAAAAAAGGTGGGGCGCATTGGATAGCCATTAGACAGGAGAATTTTCACCCATTGCCACTCAGCCACGACATCTGCTAGAAGAGCTCGATAACTCTGTAGACGAGCGAGAGACACTCTTCTGACGAGTGGATTTCCATGATATAATTTCCGGTCATTTGTCCAGTTTGACTTTTTCGAGTCAAACTGGACAAACTTTGAGTTTCAATTAAATAAAAACCGTAATGTATTTTTACGTAAAAATGATTTTATTAAATTTATCGTATTGGAAACTTTTTAAATTGTACTTCATTATGCTAATATACAATATAAATTGAGAGAAATTGGAATTCAAAGTTTGTCCACTTTGAATCGAAAAAGTCAAACTGGACAAATACACTGGACGGAGATAGTAGGCCGTAGTGGACCGACCACACTCAGATAAGCCACCCCAATCAGCATAGTAGAATGCAGTGAGCCGCATAGGGTATCCTTTGACAAATAGAAATCATGGAAGATAGTGCCCTTGAGATAACTAAGTATTCGCTTCAATATAGACCAATGAACTTGAGTAGGGGCATGCATGGTTGAGAAAGTTTGTTAACTGCAAACACGACCGATTGTACGACGGTATGCCATAACATTAACCGCTGTGGACATCAAAGGGGTTGTGGAGCGTAACTCCTCTGCCACCATGGCAGTAGAAACGTCCTTAGCACCAATCATGGATAAACCTTCAAAAATGTCCAAAATATACTTTGATTGGGACAGAAACAGCCTTGACAAAGTGGGAATGACTTCAACTCCCAGAAAATGGCTTAGGCGGCCCAGATCCTTAAGCGAGAATTTCGTAGATAGGGCACGAATGAAATCGTCATTGAAGATCATGTTATTTCCTATGAGAAAAATATCATCTACATAGACAAGAAAATACGTAGTGATACCAACACAATGATAAACAAAAAGAGAGGAATAAGATTGAGCCTTGAGAAAGCCAGACTTGAGTAAGAACTGATACAAGGCCTCATACCAAGCACGGGGTGCTTGTTTTAGGCCGTATAATACCTTAGTTAATCGACAAACATTGCGAGGGACATTCAGGATTCACAAAATTTGGAGGTTGATCCATAAACACCTCTTCCGACAACTTGCCATTTAAAAAGGCATTATTGATATCAAATTGGCGAAGAGGCCACTTATTTGGAAGAGTAAGACTAATAACCAAATGGTTAGTAACCGACTTCATCTTCGGAATGAACGTCTCAAAATAGTCACAATATGTTTTTTTGGATATACTCTTTCGAGACAAGACGAGCCTTGTAGCATTCAAAAGAACCATCAGCCATTCTTTTGATACAAAAAATCCATTTAAAACCAATGGGATGAGTTGCAGCTCTAGGGACTAGGTCCCACGTGAGATTGCAACGGGTGTCCTTGAATGCCTAAACAACGGTCTTGGGTTCTTTGATAATAGAAGTAGGATGTTTAGTGGTGGCATTGAAACATGGAGAGGAGACCAAATCTGTGTTAAAATATTTGGGATTAGGTCAACGAGATCAGGTGGGGCGACGAGGAGAAGGAGGGTCGGGGATTGGTGTTGATTGGGTCGGCAGTGGGTTAGGCAGAGGGGAAATAACAGAAACTGGTTAGTTTGTTTGAGAGGATCGATCGAATAGGTGAAGAAGATGTGGAAGATTGTGGATGGGAGGACAGAACCAACTTGGTTCAAGACATGAACGACAAGGTCCTCTTTGGGGACCGGGCTTTGAACTAGAGCAAGCTCATTGGCAATAGTCAACATGTTGAGAAGAAACTCGGTGATAGACCAATTACTGCATGGATTTTTAGGAAGTTTATTTGGAAATGAGTTTTGAAAATGGTAGGGTGTTGATGCCTATTTTCCAAACATTGGTGCTATTTGGTCAAATTTTATACTCCATCCCTTTCATATAACACTTCCACTTTCATTTTTTATTTTCCCAAAACACTTCTACTTTCTATTAAAAAACTACCTTCACCCATACTTTTTTTACCCTACCTATCACATTATACATATTCACTAATAATCTATCCATAATATTTTACTTTTATCAATCACATCAAGAGCAAAATTGGAAAATCAATCACAACTATTTATTTCTTATTTTCCCTAAAAGTCAAAATAATAACCGTTTTATGAAACGAAGAGAGTACATTCATGCGTTAACCAAATCCAAACAATCAATAAAATTTCAGCAAATAATATTTCAAAATAACTGTTGTACTATTCTTTTCCTCAAAAAAAAACTCTTGCACTATTTTGGTTCCATGTAAATTTCCGTGCTCTACTTTTTCGTGTATACTCCAGAATTGGGAAACAAACACAACCAATTGTTCGATACTTCGAATTTCGGCTGCCGTTTAGATATTTGTTCCATAAAAGCCAATAGATGGGCAAACAATAGAAAAACTAAAATTAAGAGAAACCCATTTCGATATGAAAAGAAGAGGAAAAAAATACACAAATTGCATGCGAAGGGAGGTTGGATGAATTTGGGCGGGATTAAGAAAATGCATAGTAATTGAGGAATAACTGAGAAAATACATAGTAATTGAGGAATTTGGGCGGAAGCATAGTAATTGTACACAAGTAGTCAATCATATTTTAGCCCGAAAATATTACTCCCTCCACCTGTGGCCACAGGCAGGGTTGCAGCAAACAAAGAACAGAGCCATTCCTTCTTCTCCCCTAGCAGCTGCCTGCGCAAACACACAACAACAATGTGTTAGGATATGGTTTGTGGGGGTAAAATAGTCCTTTCCCTCACCAACTCTTTCCAAAATAAGGATGAGATTCCACATTAGTGAAGCTAAAAAAGATCAAACTCCAAACAGAATGGAGGAAATGCACACATTGATGTATCTAAACTAAGATGGAGACGAGTAGCAGTGAAGTATGAACCACTGAAAGCCCTACTCCGAGAGTAGAAATATAAAGACCTGAAAGAAGACGGCCTCTCCATGACCACATTGAGAGCATTTCACAGATTTTGTGCGAGGGAGCGTTGGATCTGCAGTTACATCATGTAAGATTTGTGTGCGCTCACCAAGAGGATGATGCACTTCGTTTCTGTACACGCAATTGTTGTCAGCAACCTCCTGCCAAACATTAGATTGGAGTAACATGATGAAACTAGAGCTAGCAAAATGATAGTACGATTTAAAAATATTACTCTACTAGAAACAAACACACACACACACACATGAATCATATGATTACTGACGAATGTATACAAGCCAATTGATTAGGCAAAACCCTCAGGTGGACGTTGAATTATTTGATAGAAGTATATGTTTCCACTTCCCATAGTTTAGTCAGATAACTAATAGATCTACAATACAAATAAAATGGGCAACAAAACTGTTTCAATGCAAAATGTGTGCATTTGTTTCTGGAATACATACAATAATGAAAGAGTATTAACAAATGACAAACATAATAACCTATCTTCTCAAAGAACATGATGCCTTGTTTCAGGCATACCTTCAAAAAAGAGCTTATCCTATAGGACCGACCTATACTACTCGAAGAAGTGGCAATTTCCCCACTCGGAGAAGAAATTCTCTCTCCCGAATATCCAAATTTAAAAAAAAAAAATTGGGATGCAGCAAAATACATATAAGTTAGGGTACAAGTGAAACAACTACGGAGTAAGTTATAAGACTAGACAAACACCAATGAAAGAGGCACCTGCTAAAAGTGATGTAATTAGGTGGTGGTGAATAGAATTGATACTTTAATGGCTAAATCAAAAGCCAAGCTCTACCGGACATTAACAGGCTCTAATGCAGAGGCCAAAAGACAGTACCTGGTGATCGCAATTACGGCATGCATAGAGGAGGATCTTCTGCTCCTTGTCTTCCTTTGGGTACAGAATGTTGTTGCTGTTCCAACAAACTCATGTCAACACACACTGCGCCAAGTGAAGAAGATAATGAAATTACTTCAAGAATCTAACCATTCGCGGCAAAATTTCATGGTACTCATTCTTGCGAATCTCTTCTTTCCGCTCAAGAAATGAATTCCTATCTCAAACCCACAATTTTGGCTATATCAATTGTGACCCCTACGAAATTCTCCATATTTATTAAACTAGCATTAATTCGTTTAATAAGTGTTATACTATATTTTACCAATGTTATACTATACTATTACCAATGGTATTATAATAATCATCAAAAAAAATTGATGGTGCGGGGTGCATGCTTCATTGAGTTTATTTGGATAAAAATTCCGTTTTATCGGGGGTTCCAAGGAGGCAGCGCCCCCTTGGCAGGGGTTCGGGGGCAGAGCCCCCGAGCAGGGTTCAAGGGGAGGCAGCCTCTGCGGGGTCCAAGGGGCAGAGCCTCTGGCTGGTGTCGAGATGCTATGTTAAAAAATTCGATTGAATTTTTATTTTCGAATTTTCTTTAAAAGAAAACCTAAGGATAGCGCCGATTTTCTTAGGGGTTTTACGCGAAGGTTCGCGCGTCTTGGGTAAAAGTTGCGATCGCGTCTCCTCTTCTCACCGCAACTCTATATATTCCCGCAAGTCCATGGTCGGAGATACGTTCGGAAATTTCACAGCAATTCATATTCGTTCTTGATACTTTCGAGTTTTATCCGATTGAATTTTGGATTGAACAACCAAAATATTCAATCTGAAAGTGTTATACACGAATCTCGATTCATCCACGTTTTCGTTAATTTCCCCAACAATAACTTCCTATTCCCTATTTAAATACTGCCTTCGTTTTACTTCCCATAACATTCTATACATTTTCTTTTTTTTCACGTCCCATGAACTCTCTATTGGTATGTTTGAAAACGTGGATATCCAGATTTACTTTATGGTTTTATCAAATAAGAACCAATATAAGAAAAGAAAATAAATAAAATTAGACCATGTGAATGATAAACAAATTTGATAAAAGAGAAAGTATTCCTCATTCTTATTGTAAATAGTTCAAACAAGATCAGATTATAAGAAATACCTTTAAATATAACTTTAATCATATTAGCCCGAATTAGACTATATCATATTATCCCTTTAGACAATTTGATGAGATCTATTCAGATTAGATAAAGAGACCATGCTTTAACACTCAAATGCTGCATAGTATCAAAATACTAAATTTCTAACCACTATATACAAACTTAGAGTCCGATTGGTGTGTTTTGGCGATATGATAAGATATGAGTTATGAAATCTAGAAGAAATGATATGAGTTTTGAAATCTAAAACGGATTTGTTTGTAGAGATTTAAAATTATGATTTAATTAGTGATAAGCAGGGGTGACCTGTAACGTGGTGGTTGGCGGTGACAATGGTAGCGGGTGACGGTAAATGATCATTGATGGAGAGAGATATCAAACCCCTATATTGATATCTTCGAAATTTGTGAGATATCGAAACTCTTTATTTGAAGGATTTATGATATCTACAAATATCGAATTTAATATTTTTTTGGCTTCACCGAACATTTAAAAGGAATTCTGATTTTTGGAGAGATAAAAACTCTTATCTTGTTTACTCACCAAACACATCATTAGTATTCAAATAAGAAATATGTGTATTCAAACTAAATACTAACTTGTGCATATACTCCGAATAGCTATATTTTTGAAATATTAACCTCTTTTATCTAAATTAAATATAGGGAGAAGGACAAAACTAGGAGTAAAAGTTATGTTATATTCTCAAATAGAAGCTAAAACTTAAACTCCTCTAAATAGGAGTAATTAATTAATTTTTGTTCTCAATTCTCTCTTCTCCCTTCCTTTGTTTTTGTCTTTTCTTGCATGCGTGTGTATTTACACACTTAAGAAACATTGATCATTTATTATTATTATATTATAAAATGTTTATATTTATTTATTGAATTATAACATTTATTTTGCTCATAACTTTCTACACCAAATCTTTATAAATTTTGTTAAAAAATGAAAGTTACATTTATAAGGTCCAGTCCCAGTCCGGCTGATCCCGAACCAGTCCTTATCTAATTTGGCCTGGTCCTCGGTCTACGAAACATCCCTTATTCGAGCCTGGTCCGGTCCTAGTCTGAGTCTGTCTGGTCCGGGTTCGACCCGATGAACAACCCTACACGTCATAATAATTGATGGAGAAATAATTTGAGAGGGGTTGCAAATTTGGTGGAGGCGGGAGGGGTATATATGTGGCTTTTTCTCTGTGTTTATAAGCTAGTTAAAATCGCTTATAAGTAGTTTTTAACATGTAAGTTAGTTGATGACATATTTTTCTCTATTTTATCTAACTTATAAGCTAGAAAAATTAAGTAGATCTTAATTAATTTTAAGACAATTTTTTTTCATTTTGTCTTAATTATTTACAAAACCATCTATCATCATTTATAAATATTTTTAAATAACTTATCTATCATTTAAGTTATTTTACTTCCACGAAAAAATATTTGAATTAAAAGTAGCTTATAAGTTAGTAAAAATTGTTTATTAGCAATAAGTCAATAATCACAAGCACAGAGAAACACCCCATAGAACTTTTAACCAATACTCCCTCCGTCCCTAAATAAACTTTTCTTTTTGACTTTTTGAGGATTTAAGGGAGGGATATTTTTGTATTGACTTTCCAAAAATACTCTTGATGTGATGTGTAAAAGTAAGATGTGATATGTAGATTATTAGTAAAAAGGTATGATGTGATAGGTAGGGTATAAAAAAGTAAGGGGTAAAAGGAGTTTTTTAAGGAAAAAGAGAAGTTTATTTGGGGACAAAGAAAAAACGAAAGTGGAAGTTTATTTAGAGACGGAGACAGTATTTGTTTACGTAAAATAGAAAGTAACGAATAGTGTTAGACGACCCTAAAAATAGTACTAAACAAATACTATGCGACAAAGATAGTATAAAAGAACACGTTAACTCGTATAGAATAATCCTAAATAGGAATAAAACATAGAAAAAAGCACCAAAATAGGAGTTCCATCTTTTATTCCCGAAGTAGGACTTCGCACTGTAGTAATGTGATTATAATGTGCATGGGTGGCCCGGAGGGTGTGCAAAGTGGCCAACCAAGTCCTCATATTTTTAATTCATCACTAATTTTGAAGCATAAGTATTCTAAAATAATAAAATAGGACCTAAAATATAAATTTTAGGCTGGACCAATTTCATTTTTTTTCATTTTTCGAGGCCGGCCCTAGTAATGTGACACTGTACATGTACACATTACTATATTTTTTGGTAATGTACATGACCATGTTTGGTAATGTAAATGTATTCTAACTCATACTTCGAAAATAAAAACATGAAAGTCTTATTTTGGTATATATTTGATGTTTTACTGCTACTTTAATCTTTTTTCCAAAGTCCCTAGTTATTAATATGTGGTAGTTGACTCGGTTCAAAACATTGATGAAAAGTTCAATATAATGGAAGTATATTTTTTGTGTGTGTGATGTAAATGGGAGTTGATATCTCCACTTTTACATTGTACACTGACACTGAATCGCTACCATAGCACTGCCTCTAATTGCCGGTGTTGACCGGTGTTGGGGAAATTAATGAAAACGTGGATCAATTGAGAGTAATGTATAACACTTTCATATTGTATATTTTGATTGTTCAATCCAAAATTAAATCAGATAAAACTCAAAAGTAACAAGAACGAATATGGGATCGCTATGAAATTTTCGAACGAATTTTCGACCAAAGACCTTCAGGAATATATGGAGTTGCGGTAGAGAAGAGAAGACGCGATCACGTCTTTTACCCAAGACACGCGATCCTTTGTGCGAAAGGCCTTTAGAAAATCGACGTTATCCATAAGAAATTTTCATTTAAAGAAAATTCGAAAATAAAAATTCAATTGAATTTTTTAACATAGCACTTTGCCCAAAATTAAAAATTTTTGAGCTGCCTGCCCCTTGGATCCCAGCCAGGGGCTCTGCCCCTTGGACCCTGCAGGGGTTGCCGTCCCTTGAACCCTGCTCGGGGGCGCTGCCCCCGAACTCTCGCCAAGGGGGCGCTGCCCCCTTAGAACCCCTGATAAAACAAGATTTTTATCGTAACAAACTCAATGAAACGTGCACTTCGCACCACTAAACTTCTTTGATGATTATTAGGATACCATTGGTCATAGTTTTTCTAATTACACTAAAATATATAACATTCCTCCCCTATTTTAGTGTAATCCTTGATTAACTAAACAAATTCATAGCAAACAACAAACTTATGCATAAATGAAATATCGTGACGATTGAATTTTATCTTAGTACATTACACATTTCAAATATTTGAATATCAGAGTAGCATAAAGGATTGAACCCTTGCTACAAAAAAGCTTACATACTTTAATGTTCTAACTTGACACTACTATTTACTAGCCTTGTGTCATAATCCTTCATAAGCATATCGAAGCGAAGTATCTACTTCTTGAAGCGGCTAAACTCCATGCTCATATAGGTAGCTCTCTTTATTCTTGCACCTGTATATGCAATTTTTCAAAAGAATTATTAAGAAGACGTACTTCATCCTCTTAATCTTGCTGGTCTGAACACATACTTCGGGATAATATACTTAATGTGTTCCAATTTTCAGATGTTAAGATTTTCCACATTGAATTCATCATGTAATGTCTTATTAGATGGGAATTAGGATTCTTACCATGAGAAATTTAGATAGACTTCATTCCAATCCCTATAGCCGATCTCTGCACAAGGTTTCTACTTAATCCTTTGGTTAAATGATCAGCTAAATTTTGTCGAGTCCTTACAAACTCCACTGATATCACACCATGCATGATGAGCTCTCGAACCATGCTGTGTCTCACACCTAAGTGTCTTGACTTCCCATTGTAATAAACTTGACTATAAGCCTTAGCCAAAGTAGCTTCACTATCACAACGAAAAGATATGGGAGATATTGGTTTTGGCCACAACGGAATTTCATGTATCTGATTTCTTAGCCATTCTGCTTCTTTACCGGCTACTGCCAAAGCCACAAACTCAGACTCCATTGTAGATTTAATTATGTAAGTTTTTTCTTTGATGCCCAACCAATTGCACCTCCACCAAGAAGGAATATTCATCCACTCGTGGAAAAATGATCTTCCATATTAGTTATCCAACTTGCATCCGAGTATCCTTCTAAAACTGAAGGAAAGTCGGTGTAAGTTAAACCATAGTTCATGGTTCCCTTTAAGTATTTAATTACTCGGTTAATAGCTTGCCAATGATGCGAACTAGGATTGCTAGTATATCTACTAAGTTTCCCAACCGCATATGCTATGTCTGGCCTAGTACTAATCATAGCATACATCAAACATCCAATAGCTCGTGATTATTCTAGTCGAGATACCGCAACACCTTTATTAGAAAAGAGCTTTAGACTTGGATCAATAAGAGTACTAACTGGAGAACAATCTTTGAAGTTAAACTTCTTCAAAATCTTCTCAATATAATGTGATTGAGAAATAGAAATTTCATTATTCTTACGCTTGATCCTTATACCTAGGGTCACTTCAGCCTTCTCCATGTCTTTCATTGCAAACCTAGATGACAAAAGTTCCTTGGTGTTATAAACTTGAATTTGGTTAGTACCAAATATTAGCATGTCATCTACATATAAGCAAATTATAACTCCTTGTCCAGAAGCATCAAATCTGCTATATACACACTTATCTGCTTGGTTTAATTCAAAACCATTTGACAAAACAACGTCATCAAATTCATGATACCATTGTTTTGGTGCTTGCTTTAGACCATAAAGAGATTTCACCAACTTACAAACCTTATTTTCGTTCCCAGGCATGACAAAACCTTCAGGTTGTTTCATATATATCTCTTCATCCAATTCACCATTCAAGAATGCAGTTTTTACATCCATTTGGTGAATTACCAAGTTGTGTATAGCTGCAAGAGCTAATAGCAATCTAATGGTAGAAATTCTAACAACATGTGCATAGGTATCAAAGAAATCAATACCTTCCTTTTGTTTGAAACCTTGGATGACCAATCTGGCTTTGAACTTATCTATGCTTCCATCAACCTTCATTTTCCTTTTGAAGATCCATTTACATCTTATAGGTTTGCACCCGGGAGGTAAATATGTCAATTTCCATGTATTATTTTGCATGATGGAGTCAATTTCACCTTGAATTGCTTCCTTCCAAAATGCAACATCCCTTGAAGCCATAGCTTCATTAAATGTCTTTAAATCTTCCTCAATATTGAAACAATATTGATATTGAAATTCAATCTCATTTCTTGTTCCTTCCATCAAGTAGAGTTGAAAATTATCACCAAAAGATTTACCTTTTCTTGTTCTTGTACTTTTCCTAACTTCAATGTTTGTGGAAGGCACAGTTTGAGAGACCTTGAAAGTAGGGGTCATATCCTTTGCTCTGGATATAGAAGTAAATCTTTCTTCATAAAAAATCGCATCTATTGACTCTATAACTGTGTTTACAGATACAAAGTCATTAGGTTCTATAACATAGAACCTATATGCCTTGGAATGCATAGCATATCCAATGAAGATGCAGTTTATACCTTTTCACCTAAAGTTTTCCTCTTAGGTTCCGTAAGTATAACAACGGCCCTACATCCCCAAACTTTAAGATAACTCAAGTTTGGTGGTTTTTTGTACCAGAGTTCATACGGGGTTGTTTTCATCTTCTTATTAGGAACTCTATTCAATAAGTAACAGGCCGTTAACATTGCTTCGCCCCAAAATCCTTCGCTTAATCCCGAATAGGATAACATGGAATTAACCATTTCTTTCAAAGCCCTATTCTTCCTTTCTGCAACACCATTTTGTACCAGTTGTTTGATGTATTATACCAGTAGATTTAAAATATACTGGATCAAAATACTCACCTCCCTTATCTGTTCGAAGAATTTTAATCAAGTTACTTTGGTGTAACTCCACCTTTTGCTTATAAATTCTAAATTTTTCAAGGGCTTCTTCTTTTGCATGTAACAAATATATAAAGCAAAATTTGGACGCATCATCTATGAAAGTGACTACATATTTTTTATTTCCAAGAGAAGGGGTACCATGTAAGTCACATAAATCACTATGAATAAGATCCAGAATTTTACTTTCCCTACAAACTTCTTTGAATGGTTGTCTCCTTATCTTAGTGAGCATACAAGTTTTACACTTCTCAATGTTCATGTCAAATGCAGGTATTAAACTTAATTTAGACATATCTTTTAATCTTTTGTAATGAACATGTCCTTGTCTAGCATGCCATAATTCAGATTTACTTCAACCAATGCTAGAACTAGTAGAAGCCATACATATAGATTCATTGAGATAAGATATATCTAAATTCAACTTGAACATACCATTCAAATTTCCAAATCGAATAAAAAAACCATGTTTAGTTAATACATATTTATCGGACTCTATGACTTGTTTATAACCCCAATTATTTAATACAATACCAACCACTATGTTTTTACAAATACCAGGAACAAATAATACAGTATTTAAAGTTATTGACTTGCCAGAAGTAAACACTAGCCTAACACTTCCAATTCTTTTGATGGGTTCGGTAGACACATTCCCCATGCGCAATGTTGAGCCATCTTCAATTGGCCTTACAAATGTAAACCAACGCTGATCTTTGCACACATGGGATGTTGCTCCCGAATCTACCCACCATGCAACATCATCATCCTGAATACAAAATGCCTCGGATATTAGGGATACATAATTCTGAACCGAATTATTAATCTTTTCAAAATTCTGACCTTGCTGCATATTCGAGTCCTTCGACCCACTTGGACCGGCTTCTTGTTTTCCTTTACCAACCCTGCAATTTTCTTGAAATGCCCGGGTTTACCACACTTCCAACACGCCACCATTTGTTTCTTGTTGGTGGTTTTCTTGTCGGGCTTATTTTGCTTCCTTTTTACAGACTTGTGCTTCACCTTGGAACCACCATCCTCCACCATATTGACACAGGATGGTCCAGCAACATCCTTGGATTTGTTGCTTTCTCGAGCCCTCACTAATTCTTCAATCCGAAGATGAGTGCCCAATTGAACCAAAGAGATATCATCTTTGTTGTGTTTCAACTCACGTTTATAGTCTTTCCGAGTCGGTGGAAACTTATCAATTACATTCGAAACAGAGATACATTCATCTTATTTCATACCATGTAAATTAAATTGTCCCAACATACGCACAAGTTCATGATATTGTTCCATAACAGACCTCAAATCAACCATCTTATAATTATTAAAGTCACTAACAAGAAATTTCTTACTTGATGCATCTTCTACCATGTATTTGGATATATATCGAAGAGGGAATCAGACAAACCGTTTAGAATGTGGGCTATGCACAGAATGTTGTCATTTTCCTACTTGCATCGCCTTCTAGCATGTTCAATGGTTTCGTCCTCACGCTCTTTGGGTTTAAGAGTACTCAGCACATACATGACTTTTAGGGTCGTCAACAGGATCTACATCTTCTTCTACTATCTTCGAAAATCTTTTCCTTCGAAGCCTTCCAGTTTTGCGAATTTACTGGTTCCGTCCTTCATTGATTCCCCATTCGTCATCTTCAACGAAAATATTCAATCTTTGTTGGAGAAATTATCGAAAGCGTGGATCAATCGAGATTCGTGTATAACACTTTCAGATTGAATTTTTTGCTTGTTTAATCCAAAATTTAATAGGAGTAAACTCGAAAGTAATAAAAACGAATATGGGATTGCAATGAAATTTTCGAACGAATTTTCGACCAAAGACCTCCGGGAATATATGGAGTTGCGGTAGAGAAGAGAAGACGCGATCGCGTCTTTTACCCAAGACATGTTGGGCTTTGTGGAGGCTTGTTTGTCGGCCCGGCCCAGTTGTGCGTAGCCCTAGTTTTTTTCCCTATATATAGAGGGCTTGTACTTGTAATCGGTACCACAAGTGAAATAAGAAATTCCTCCTGTTGCAGGCATGGATTAGGGAAACCGAACCACGTTAAATTCTTGTGTGTCGTTTGTGTTCCGTTTTTCTCTTGATTCTCGCAGATATTTGTGTGTGTTGTGTGTTAATTCCTAACAAGTGGTATCAGAGCAAGGTTATTCAACACGAGCACAAATTGTGAGAAATTTGTCACCTAGTCAAAAAGTCTAGACACGCACGACTCGGCGGCCCTCTCTAGACTCTAAGGTCATCAGGTTAGACTCTAACGTCAAGTCTAGCACGGCGGCAGTCGGCGACTAAGCAGGTCCACGGCAGCATCTCCTCAGCAGTGAGTTGGCCGGCAGCGACTTCCTCGTCACGCAGACAACTCGCTCTGGCGGCGGCGGCTGCTCTCCTCTCGTTGGGTTGGGATCTGTCGCTGTCGTGGAGGAATCGCCGCCGCGTCGCCATCTCGATCGCCGCCTCCGATAGCCGCGCGCAGAAGGAGCCGCCGCCGCTACCGTCTTCAGTTGCAGAGCCGCCGGGAGTGACGCCAAACAGCCGCGGCAGGAGCGAACACCAGGGGTCGCCAACGCCGTCCGAGACACCGCCGCCGCCGGGTTGAGAAGTCGCCGCGCAGACGCAGCAGGACTGCTGCCATCTTCTCCTTCTTGCCCAATTGAAGCTGCCGATCGAAGGGGCTGTTTTTTTTTAGTTGGGCCGTATTCAGCAGCCAGAGAAAGAAAAGAAAAAAAGTTGTGGGCCAATTTGTTTTTAAATTGGTCAGTCATTTTTCTTCTTTGGTGTTTTTGGGCTTAGTTTGGTTTGGCTAAATTAATTGGTGTGGTGGACCTGTTTTTCTCACAAAATTACCAAGATCTAAAATTTTTGTACCGGGTATCTCGTCCAGTTGTTTGAGATGGCAGAAGACGGGAAGTTCCGAATTGAGAAGTTCGATGGTACAGATTTCAGTTGGTGGAAGATGCAAATTGAAGATTTGCTGGTTCAAAAAGATTTGGACGTGGTTTTAGGTGACAAGCCAGAAAAGATGTCGGATGCAGATTGGGCAGGTTTGGATCGGAAAGCTATGTCCGTGATCCGTCTCTCGTTGACCAAGAATGTTGCGTTCAACATTCTGAAGGAGAAGACAGCGAAGGGAATTATGGACGCGCTGTCTAACATGTACGAGAAGCCATCTGCAGCAAACAAAGTTTTTCTGATAAGAGAGCTGGTGAACACAAAAATGAAAGAAGGCACTTCAGTTACCGAGCATATCAACAAGTTGAATTCGATCTTAGCCAGACTATTGTCAGTGGGCATTAAGTTCGATGATGAAGTTCAAGCTTTACTACTGCTATCGTCTTTACCTGATAGTTGGTCCGGAACGGTTACAGCAGTTACCGGTTCAGTGGGACCTGATGGATTCACCTTTGATCAGATTCGAGATCTCGTTCTTGGCGAGGATGTCAGAAGAAAGAGTTCGGGGGAGTCATCTGGTGAATTGCTTCATGTTGGCAGAGGCAGAAGAAATAGCAGAGGTAGTGGGAGCAAGAACAGACAAAGGAGTCAGTCGAAGACTCGTGACAGCTCAGGTGTAACGTGCTGGAAATGCAAGGAGGTAGGGCATTTTAGGAATCAATGTCCGAATGACAAGAAAGTGAACATTGCTGAAGGCTCTGCGAGTGACGAGGAGGTCACTTTGACTTGTTGTGAGGAAAGCAATGTGGATTCCTGGGTCATGGATTCTGGTGCTTCATTTCATGCTACCCACAGCGGTGAAGCATTGCAGAATCCAGTTGTTGGAGATTTTGGAAAGGTACGACTAGCAGACGACAGAGCTCTTGAGGTGACGGGCATGGGTGACATGGTGTTGAAGACCTCAGTCGGTCTCTGGACTTTGAAGGATGTTAGAGTGGTTCCAGCCTTGAAGAAAAGTTTGATTTCTGTCAGGCAGTTGGACGAACAGGGACACGAGGTTAAGTTCAGAGATGGGCAGTGGAAGGTCGTGAAGGGAAATCTTGTCATAGCCCGTGGAAAGAAGAGAGGTTCGTTGTACATGGTCGGGTTACCATCTGAGGGAGTGACCGTCCCAGTTCAGAAGAGAAACAAAGTCCGATTCACAGAGTCTCGTGGGCAGAATAAGGTTGTCTATGCAAGAGAGAAACCTAGAGCCACAGGTCAGACTCAGGATGAACGAGCGTGGAAAGGTTCAAGGGGGCCAGTCAGAGGTATTTATGGCAGTGGGAGCTCAAGAGGCGCTTCAGCCAAGTTGCCTAGAAGACAGTGGGTCAGGAGAACCAGTATTCCATCTGTTGGAACATCTCCAGAAAATTTCTTGCTGAGTATGGAGAGTGTTTGTTCTCAGGATATTCCAGGATCCGGCAGTGTGCGTCCGCAGTGGGAGCCGGTAGGGACCGAGGACGAGTCAGGGACAGACTTTGCCGTGACTGATGTGTTGGATCTTGGGAGAGCTTCAACGGGCCTTTCAGTTGTCTGATGATAGGGTCGCTGCAACAGGAGAGCTGAAGAAGATTACTCGATGTACAGGTGATCGTGGCGGATGGCAGTTGATGTTTATCAAGCCTCCAAGTGGGAGAATGTTGGGCTTTGTGGAGGCTTGTTTGTCGGCCCGGCCCAGTTGTGCGTAGCCCTAGTTTTTTTCCCTATATATAGAGGGCTTGTACTTGTAATCGGTACCACAAGTGAAATAAGAAATTCCTCCTGTTGCAGCCGTGGATTAGGGAAACCGAACCACGTTAAATTCTTGTGTGTCGTTTGTGTTCCGTTTCTCTCTTGATTCTCGCAGATATTTGTGTGTGTTGTGTGTTAATTCCTAACAAGACACGCGATCCTTCGCGCGAAAGGCCATTAGAAAATCAGCGTTATCCATAAGGAATTTTCTTTTAAATAAAATTCGAAAATAAAAAATCAATTGAATTTTTTAACATAGTACTTTGCCTAAAATAAAAAAATTTCGAGCTGCCCCTTGCTCGGGGGCGCTGCCCCCTTGGAACCCCGGATAAAACGGGATTTTTATCGTAACAAACTCAATAAAGCATGCACTCCGCACCACCAACTTTTTTAATGATTATTAGGATATCATTGGTTATAGTTTTTCCAATTACACTAAAATATATATCAACCGGTGGTCCACCACGATGACGATGATGACATACATAATATTTTGGGTAATTTTGTAGATATAATTTGAACGGTTATGAAAATTATGACTGAATTGGATTCGAGGACAAAGGACTAAATGAGAGGCGGCAAGAAAAGGAGGGAAATTGTTTTTAGCTTTTTTTTCATCTTTTCAAAACGGAAAAAGTAAGAAAATCAACCCCCTTCCACATCGCGAAATAGCAATCCCCCAAATTGCTGTTTCATATTATGAAGAGAGGGAAAATGGAGAAAAGAAGAGCTAGAGAAGAAGTAGAAGAAGAAAATAATGGAGCAGCTGAAGAGTACGAGCAGTACAGAGCTCAGAGAATAAAAGCGAACATGGAGCGAATGAAGAATTTGGGGCTTTTTGAGCTTTCCAAGAGGCTCAAACCTGAAAATCCCCCAAAAGCCTCTCGTAAAGCACCTCAGAAGCGCCCTCCTTCCAATGACCCCCTCCGGCGCTCCTCCAGGTATTCTCACCTTGAAACCCTTGTTCTTTGTTGCTCTGATTCACACTATCACATTTGGAATTCTCGTTTATGTATGTATACATTCATGAATGTATGAATGTTTCTGTTGGTGCTTCGATTGACTGATATTTATGAAGGATTTTACTGAATGTTAGTTTCCCTGTACTGTTTTTTCTTCAAGGATTTCTGGGTTTTAGTGGATTGTTCAATTATTTCTAATCGATCACTCCTTACTTCCGCATGGAGTATGATTTGAACTGTTTGTCGGGGTCCTCTCTGAAATGTCATATCTACTTGAGTAAAAGTGATGGTTTGAACATTTGTTTCATGTAAGCGGTCACAAGTATTTCCAGTTGCTCAAGATTTAACATATAAATTGTGGGTTTCTGTGTTAGGTTGACCACGAGGGCTCCTGTGAATTATTCAGAGCGAAGAGAACCTAAGGTAAGGGAGAAGTTTCCAAAGAACGTGAATATTTGTATAGCAGAGGGCGAAAAGCCTGAGGTGTACACAGAAGAGCACAAAAAGTTGCTAGGTGATTGCAAGAACAACTGGACTCTGTATGAAGACGGGTACGATGAAGATGGAATGCGCCTGTATGACCCAGACATTGGGAAGAGTTGCCACCAATGCAGGTACATAGCTGTTGATAGTTCAACTTCAATTTGTGATGCACTATCATTTTTCTATTCCAGCTACAAGTTATCTTAATTTGTATATCCATTTATTACCTGAAGAAGAATGCAATATATATACTCCGCGCGCGCGCACGCACACACACACACGGAGTATAAGATGGAAAATTTATCTGTTATTTTGTTTATATTTTTGTTAATAATATGACTGTGCAGGCAGAAAGTTATGTGTAAACACACTGAATGCAGGAAGTGCAAGACGACCCAAGGGCAATTATGTGGAGATTGCTTATACATGAGGTGATTTAGAAAAATAAGATTAAATACCACATCCTTTTCTATCATTATCTTTTTTGTGTGTAGCACTGCTGATTTTATTTACTGAGTGAGGGGGACTAATAACCTGACTCCCTTCTACAAATAGAACTAGGGAGTCGTGGATCAGGTTAAGTTAGTATCATTTATAATCTCATTCCACATGCTTTGTTACTTAACTTTTGCATCTATGTTAAAATTCTCTGGAGTCCCTCACCTGTGCTTGCTTGTGAGTGTTTGTATTTCCATAACATGCAATTGCCGATAAAACAAATGTGTGAGTCATGATAGATTTGGCTTGTTTTCACCATGAGAAGATTAAGTAATGCTGTATAATATACTATAAGTATCATCTGCAACCTCTCTAGATATGCTTCTCGAGTTCTTAAACATGTATATATTCCTGCTTCAAAGCCATTCTACTCTTTCCTTGTGTGTAGGTACGGGGAGAATGTGATAGAAGCAAATGAAAATCCAAACTGGACTTGCCCTGTCTGCCGTGATATATGCAACTGTAGTCGTTGCAGACGTGGAAAAGGATGGGCTCCCACTGGTGCAATATATAATAAGGTAAACCAATTTAATTTAAATTTTATGTTTCTTTGTTTTCAGAGCATCCTATCATTCCTCCTCTTTTTCCGGTTCCTAGCTACACGTGTCACATTACCAACTGAGACGCTGTACTCTAAGATATATATAGTACTAAAATTTCAGGTCTCCAGCATTGGTTACAAATCTGTGGCACATTATCTTGTTTTAACAAGTTTGCAAAAAGGGAAGGGAGATGAAAACTTGGGCGATGCAAATGCAGTTTCTAATGAACCAGATGGAGACATGAAGGAAACAGTTGAAAAACACAGTCAAATGGAAGAAGAAGAAGAAGCATGGAGTCATGGCAGTGAAGTTGAAGATGCTACTGGAGACGAGGACTCGGAGTAGTGATCATCAGGGTGTGATGCCCCTTTTTATGATATATCATATTTTTGTGTTTAACTTAGGCAAGTGTTAACCAAATTTCCAAACTCTATTTTTGTGTCAATGGGTAACATTCCCTTTGTCCCTATTTTATCTTCCTTTTCTTTTTTTATCCAACCCAAGATTATCTACTCTTTCTTTTGAAGGAAATGATTCTACAGTTCATACACTTTCTCTCACATCTAGACTGGATGACTCTTAAGTGTTAACTACATAAATTTTACTTTATTAAAAATGATGTAAAGTCAAAACAAGAGATAAAAAAATGGATGAAGGGAGTAACGATTGATTACGCAAAGCAGGAAAATACGGTTCAGCAAAGTGTCGACAAAATCCGCATCCAAGATGGAATAGTCAGGTGATTGATTCAGATAATGTAACAGCAGTCTATTCTAATTAAAGCCAACCCTGGTAAGAGAAAAAATCCCAATCACCAAATACGCCATGTCCAACTGGAAGCTAAAAATTGTTTGCTATCAAAACTCATTTTGGCAGTTGCGCAATTAGAGCATATCATTGTTTTCTATTACAAGTCGTCCTAAGGCTTCCCTCAAATTTAGCGTGTTTCGCATGGTTCTCCTTCCAATACCCCCATTGCCCTTCCTCATCATTGCAGCAAATTCCCCATAATCGATTTGCCCGTCCTGCACAATATGGGAAAATATTATTATATACTTGGTGAAATAGGAAGAAAACACGTACGTTTTTTATATTTACAAATCCCCTAATACTTGGGGCCTCAAAGAGATACAAAAGGGCATACTAACATTATCTTGATCGATTTCTCTGATCATTTCATCAAGGTTAAGCTCACTTAAACCAAACTCTTTGCAGGCTTGCTGAAGCTCGTCAATGGTGATGTATCCACTACTATCCTTATCGAAGAAAGAGAATGCTGACATCAGATTTTCTTCTCTTTCCAACTTGTTCAAGTGCACGGTGGCAGCAAGAAACTCTCCATAGTCTATTGTCCCACTGTTGTCAATGTCTGCCTGTCAGACAAACCATAACCAATGGAATTTTCCATCAACAACAGAACAGTGAGGAAAAATTCTATGTCATGAAGATTTGACAAAATTTTACGTTGGTTGCCGACACCTAACACAACCCTCCTCTTTTATCCGGGCTTGAGACTGGCTATGTAACGTAGTTACATAGGTAGAGCTAGTGAGGAAAAATACGGAACTAAAATTAAAGGAAAAAGAACACGACAGAATTACTAGATTTAATAAAAGCCAAGGAATAAAATCATACAGCGTCCATAAGATCCTTGATCTCGGATTCCATTAGCTCAGATCCAACTCGCCTTAAGCCCTCTTTCAGTTCATCAAAGGTTATAGTTCCGCTATTGTCAGTATCAATCATTCTAAATAGTTGTTTGAGGCCACCAATCTCCTCTTCAGATAGCCTCTCAGCGATCACCTGCTTAATATGTGTGGCAGGAAGCAGGGAATAAGAAGAATAGGGAGAGCATGAGGCATAACACATCTTGTTGTTTATATATTAGAGCATAATTGCAACACTATTTACTCTTCTGTTTTTTAAGGGAGAAAAAAAAGTAAGGACATTATACAAAAAAGTAAAAATGTGAAACGAGAGCTGAAAGAAGATGCCATAGAAACTGTATAAGGAATCGTACACGTAAAGCCATCTTTTTAAGTTTATTCATTGCAGAGAACTGTTTCAAGCGTGAAAGAACTGCAGAATCAAGAGGCTTGTCAGGGGCAACACTGTCGTCCACAATCCAAGGATGGCCTAAAAATTCAGAGGAAGCAGGAAGGAGATGTTATCTTTTTAAGTTTATTCATTCAGATGGCCTAAAGATAAGAGAATCATTTTACAACTGTATTTCATGAACAAATTCACAAGCCACGCATCGGAAGGACTCACATAAAACTTCATGGGCAGTCAACCTCCTTTTAAAATTCCGGTCAAGCATTTTACGAATCAAATCTTTGGCACTGTCTGAAATTCCTGGCCAGGGTTCAGATTCAAAATCAAGTTTTCCTTGCAATATCTGCCTGAAAATCCCCACCTCGGTTTCTAAAGTAGAGGAACAGCAGCAGCAGAAATAGTGTGAGTTACTGACTTACTGGAGGTAGAACCAATCTTAATAAAGTAAAAAACTGATATTGTTTACTTACCCAGTGATGGTAAATATCAATTAATTACCTGCCCAAAAAGGTGGAACTCCGCTTAGCAAAATGTACAATATAACTCCAGCACTCCACACATCTGATTCAGGTCCATAATGCTTGCACAGTACCTCTGGCGCTACATAGTAAGGACTTCCTACCACATCTGAGAATGTTTCCCCTATACTTGACAATAGGAGACCACATAAGAATATAAAATGTGTCTCTGTGTGTACAATTGCACCACTAATATAACATTACTATGTGTGTATTTATAGAATGTTCATAGTAACATGTTCATAATATCAAACCACCAATACAAAAACTACTCAACTACTAGTAAACATCATTACAACACATTACATGCATACAAGAATAAAATTACTCAAGTCATTCAAGTGCCCTCCCCAAAAATTTAATAAATAAACTAAAAACCAGAATAGACACAATCATAAGAACCCACTGTCAATCAAAAGAGAAAACTACATAGCAAATTATTATATTGATAAATTTTCCACTCAACAGCTTAAGGCCTTCATGAAAAGGGAAATCAAATCTCAAAAGGTCAAAAAAGCAGCATTTCTCTCAACTGACGCCAATATAGAATTTTCAAGAAATTGGACACAAGGATGGCCACAAAACACATCATTCACAACATCCACAAAACCACTCACATTGTGATCTAAACCGGATAAGAGCCATGGTCAAGCAAAAAAAACTTTTCCAATCACATCATAAAACCGCAAAAGCAACTAGCAGAGGGCAGGAGAGCTAGAGAGAGTGATGGAGCAAACCAGGTTTGTAGAAAACAGAAAGGCCAAAATCTGTGGCCTTGAGAGCAGCATCCTCATCGGAGCTAAGGAACAAGAAGTTCTCCGGCTTGAGATCTCTGTGCATGACCCCCAAAGAGTGGCATGCCTCCACCACCCCAACAATGGTCTTGATTAGCTTAGCAGCCTCCCTCTCGCTGTAATGCCCTCTCTCCACAATCCTATCGAACAGCTCCCCGCCTGCACATAGCTCCATCACTATGTGCACAAACATTCCATCCTCATAGGTTCCCTTTATCCTCACCACATTTGGATGCTCAGACAAATGGTGCATTATCTGAATCTCCCTCCAAACATCCTCATAGTCCTCCTTGCAGAACAGTTTCTTCTTTGGGATGCTCTTGCAGGCGTACAGATCCCCCGTGGCGTTCTCTTTGCACTGATGGGTTGTCCCAAACTGGCCTTGCCCAAGCTTCTTGCCCATGGTGTACAGCTGCTGAAGGGCCTGGGTCCTGTACGGTAGGATCCAGGCGGGCTTCGTGGGGATTGGGAATCGTGTTATCGGTGATGGTCTGGGTGGAGGGTCTGGTACTGTTGCCGTTTCTGATCTTGACGAAGCCATTGAAGCTAGGTTTCCAATAGATCTCCCTTTATCTTTCCAATCAATAAACAAATCTAGCTTTCCTCTATCTCTCGCCCTATATTTGCTCAACCATATCTTTCCTTACCTTTCCAGTCTTGGATTTCCGTGATGGATCAGGTTGACTTAAGTCCTTTTTGCTGGTTAAAATAACGCCACACTTTGCAGCTGTCATCAATAGGGGAAAACAAGCAAACGCGGGATCCAGCAAAGGCAAGCGTGCGCTTTAGATGTGTTTGTTTGGCTAGGGTATTTGTGGTTTTGGGTGAAGGACTAAGGGCACTGGGTATGGTCGTAATGCCCGGGGGCGTGAGGGGCTTTTAACGCCCCGGATGTGTTAAACACCAACCCCCGGCGGCGTTACCCCGGCGTCATTGCCTTTGCGTCATTCATTTGACGCGACTCAGCCAACCGTTACCCCTCCCCCAACAGCTATATAGCCGTTCCCCCCCCCAAAAAAAATAAAAAAAATCAAAATTTAAAAAAAAACCTATAAATTCCTCTTAAAAAATCATTTTCTCACACATCTCTCTCTATATTCTCTCTAAAATATTTATTATTTATTATAAATATTTATAAAATATATTTTAAAAATGGGTTCATCTTCATCCGACGATGAAAAAAAAGCTCTCTTTTTTCATTGTTTCGCCACGAATTGTATTCAATGGTGGGAAGATGGCCAAGAAGAAGAAGCCGAATCCTCCCGACAACGGACCCGACGACAACGTTTAAACCGGGATCAAGCAGCCGCCCACGCTTCACTTCTAAACGACTACTTTAATAATCCGTGTGTTTATACACCGGAGGATTTTAGTAATCGTTTTCGGATGAGTCGTCCTCTCTTTTTACGCATACTCGCCGATGTTGAACGCGAGGTTCCTTGGTTCACCCAACGGTTTGATGCGAGAGGCCGACGCGGGTTTAGTAGCGTCCAGAAGTGCACTGCCGCGCTCCGTCAGTTAGCGCTCCGTCAGTTGGCGCTCCGTCAGTTGGCATGAATCAGAGGAAGCTTTTCATTTCTTCTTTCTTTATTGATGAGCTTTTAGACAAACTAGAGTTTGCTAAAGCTTTCCCGGGTGCTGGAGCTAGTTACGACGAGTTTGCAAATCCTTGAAGAGTTAGCCATAAATATTGTTCTAAGCTGCATGGCCAGTGCAAGTTAGAAGAATATCTATTTCCAACAACAAAATGTATCATGTAAATATCAAACATTTTCTGAATCCTTAAATCATACACTGTTGGTGTTACGTTATGTTTTGTATTGTCATCACGTTGCGATCTCTCACGTCAATAGGGTATACGGACGAGACAACGATACGCTAAACATCGCTATAATAATCCTTTCGACGATAAGCAATTAAGTCACTAGTCGCTTCATAACAAGGTGTCAGTTTATTAAACAAGATTGAGCGGTCTATAGCTTCTAACAAGCATGTTATTTGAATTTGACCGAATAAGTCGTCAGTTCATAGTAAAGGGTGGCGATTCCTGATCGTCAGTTTGTTCAAGTTTTCCTAACAAGGATTTGTTGGTATCCTGACCGTAAGTCAATCTTAGAGAATATAACCGTAAGTCAATCTTAGAGAATATAATGGATCCTCTAAGCTGATCAAATAAGTCATTGATACGAGGTAAAGGTAGTTGATAAAGAGTCTCATCGATTCTTTTTTTATTTGTTTGTGATCAG